GCCAGGTGCCGAGTTGATGGGCGGCGTTTTCTCTCACCCCTTTGAAATCGGGCGCGTGTCTCCAAAGCCGGGCGGAGAGAAAGGACCACCCAGCCGCAGGAGGCGAGGCTGAAAAGACAGGCAAGGCGACCTGCCGCCTCGGGCAAAAGAGGGAAGCCCGCACTCAGACACTCGCTGCACAGCAGCCCCAGGAACAGGGAATCCCCTCCTGGACAGGGCAAGGAACCCCGCCAAAGCACGCAGGACTCCTAGGTGAAGGTGGACAGAGGAAAGAGACAGGCGGAGACCGGTGGGGTGGGGAAGCTTGGCCAGCCCTGCCTGAGAGGCTCTCTGCCCAGGGCGGGGCGCTGGAGAGCCTCCAGGCACACACTACACATAGAACTTAGCCAGGAGCCAGAGGCTGCTGGACAGCTCCGGGATCTCTGGGAGCCCCTGACAAACTCCAAGTCTAGTATCCTGCCTCAAAGGGTAGAGCTGGGATTCTACCCACTGAGAGAAGTATGGATACTTGTTAGAATAAATAGATGCTACAGATAAGATGATGAATGGAGGACAGAGGATGGATGATGGTTCCTGGGGGCAGGGGGACAAGATATAGCGTGAAGGAAGGATGGATGGATGGATGGATGGATGGATGGATGGATGGATGGACAAAGGGAAGGAAGGAGAGTGGATGGATAGATGATGGATGGATGATTTATTGGTGGGTAGGTAAGTAGATACCTAGGTAGATAACCATCCATACTTAGGACTAAAGGAGTGGGAAGTGCAGTCATTGGGAGGAAGTGGGACACAGTATATTTTATCATACACACTAAGAAATGAACTATAGTCAAAGCCAGAAAGGGTTCAATATTCCTGCTCTGTCTGACAAGTAGAGGGACCTTAGCATGATTAGAAAGAGGTAAGAAAAAGCAGAAATGGTAAATACTTGGGTAATCACAAGAGACTTCTCATGAGTTCTGTAAAAATGTTTGATAGTTGTACTGGTTTTGTATCACTACTATAACAAATTATCACAAATGTATTGCCTAAAACAACAATATTTATGATCTTACAATTCCTTTCATTGTAACTCGAGCTGGTGCTGAAGACCCTGCATGCTAAATCAAAGTGTTGACAAGACTATATTTATTCTGCAAGCTTGATATGATAGGCTCATACATTGCCTTTTTAAACAGAAAGAATGTGTGCAGTCATTGGTTCACTATCCCCTTCTATCCTCAGAGCCACCCACAATAAGGAAAGTCCTGTTACACACTCTCCATTTCTCCAAATACAATTTAGAAATCTCCTTTGATCTTAGGGGGTTTATACAATAATATGAGAACCATTGTGTAACCCAGGATAATTGCTCCATCTCCGCCTTAATGACAAGTGCAAAACCTGTTGACCACATAAAGTAGCACATTCAGATTCTAGAGGTTAGGATACAGACATCTTTGGGTGAACATTCTTCTAATGGTTAAAATACTTGAAATTGTCTAAATATGTATAGATTCCATATGTAAGATAATCACAATACAGAGATGATAACAGGACCTATATGATTGTAATGTTTGTTCACCCTCACTTAAATTGTAATGTAGGGTATATGTATAGACGGTGGAACATGTTTATATATGCTGTACCATCATTTAAAATGCTACACAAAGATATAAAACACAATAATCTAAAAACACAATAGAAAAATGGAGTACAAAATATTAAATTAACTTGAAAGAAAGTAAAAAAGGTTAGTAGAACAGAAAATATGAGGAAATAAAATAAATAATAAAATAGTGGAGTATAATCCAAGCATTAATAATTACAATGAATGTAAGTGGTCTAAAGCATAATAAAAGAATAAGGTGTTTTCAATAGATTGGGAAATATAAACTAACCAAAAACATGTGAATAAAAATGAAACACTTCAAATATAAGGTAAGTTGAAAGTTGAGGGTTTTCTTAAGGTATCTTACACAGAAATGCATCAAAAAGTTGAAGTGGCTATAAAATTATTGAAAAATATTACAGCAAAACAAATTAGCAAGACAACAAAGGTATACCACATACATTGTAAATGGTCAGCTTGCAAGGAACACCAGGCAACCCCAATGCAAATGTATACACCTGGCAGTGAAGCATCAAAATACATGAGACATTTTCCCCAAAGAAACTGTGACAGAACTAATATAAGAAACATACAAATCCACGGTTATATTGAGAAATTTCTGTATTCTCTCATAATCAGTAAATGTCTTTGGTCCCATCTATACTCAACACCAATTGCACCAAGTATCCAAAGAAGGAATAACATCAAGTAATTATAGTTCCTCCAAAAAAAAATAAAAGAGCAAGAAACATTCCTCACTTTTTTATGAAACAATCACTGTTTTATACTAAACTATACAAAAAAGTAACAGAAAAGCAAAAACCAGAACACAAAAATAAAATATACCTTTTGAACATGCACACAAAATCTTCAACAAAATCCAACTGGCAATATGTAAAAACAACACTGCAAACATGATGGTTTCATTCTAATAATATAAGGCTGAATAAACTCTTATCAGTTGAAGCAAGCTGCTGAATTCGTCATATATAGAAGAAAATCGTGTGATCGTCTTAACTGGTACAAAGACAGCTAGTTATAAAATAGCAAGTGATATTCTCAGAAGTAGACTTAGAAAGATGCCATCAACCTAATAGAGACATGGAAAAGATTCTACACCTGACATAACAAGGGAAGATGGTGTGGCGAGTCTCAGTCAATGAACAAGAGTAAGAAAGGGAAATCAAAGTCATTTGTCTTATAAGAGAAGAAACTGTTTTCCCTCAGTAACATGGTTAGCTCATGTGAAAATTTCAATGCACCTATGAAAAATCTCTAAGGACTGGTGACAAAACATACAGAACATAAAACATGCACCAATTGATCTTATGCCCACACACTACCAGGGAATGATTTAAAGTACAACTAACTTTAAAATATTCATAAGGCATTAAAATACTTATTTTAAAATCTAAAACAAATAGAGAAGATTTTCTATTGATAACTGTAGAACATTGCCTCTGGGAGGGATTTTCTGTTAATGGGATACTCATTAACTGCATGCCGAGCTAAAGAGTCTATGCAATCCTAACCAGGAGGCTCTTTACAGAAACCAGTGAGCTGATTACCAAATATAGAAAATACAAGAGCCAAGAACATTTTTGAAAAGAATAAAATTGGAGGATGGAAAGCATGTGACCCATAATACACAATAAAGCTGTACACATCCAGGCTATGAGGTCTGAGGTTAGACATTCATGGAAAACAGAGCAAGGGGCATAGCAGCACACATGGGGATATGCAAATTTATTTAACTTCCAAAATATAAGAATCAGACAACGAATAGGGACAATCTTTTGAACAACCGGACATCCTCTGTAGGGAGTGGGAACGGGGAGGAAAAAGGAATCTTGAGCCTGGTACTGTCTGCAATAGTGACCTGAACTGAAACTTAAACCTGAGTGTTGACAATAAACTGCAACACTTTTAGGAGAAAATGTCCATGATTTGGGTTACTGCAGTTTTTAATCAGGACATAAAATTAATGTGTATTTTTGAATGATACATTGTACTCCATTAAAATTGGAGACTTCTAGCGTTTTGAAATGTACCATTAAGATGTTTAGAAGCTATGCAATAAGAGAAAATATTTGCAAAAACATATCTAACAAAAAAAACTTGATTTCAAAGTAAAAAGCTTCAATAAAGCCAAAGAAAGTTCATTTAAAAACATGATATTTAAACAGACAATTTAGCAAAAACAGACATGCAGAAGGGGGAAAACATATGTAGATAATGTTCCAACATCAATAGTCATTATAAAAATACAAAAATCCAGTAAATAAGTTAGTATAAGAATTGCAAAAAAAATAAATTTTAAGAGCCTGACAAGTCCCAGTGCTTACTTAATGTGATGCAATGTGACCCAACGTCAAATTCCCTGCCTGTAATCAGAAGGTAGGGGCCACTCAGACACCTTCTGGAAGCTTCTCACAAAGTAGAGACTTCACTACCATTTACCCTTAAGAAAGAAAAATATATATCATCAACACTTCAGAATGTGTATAACCATTTTATTCATTTTAACCAAGTACTGGTAACAAAGCAGACGAGTATGAACTGTAGTGCAGTCACTCTATGGAATACTGCCCAGCAATGCCAAGTCCAGAACTGATATACAAAACATAATGCTTCCATCACACCCATTACAAAACACATTACGAGGACTCTTGCTTCTCTTTATTTCTGCTTAAATAAAGAATACTTTATTGTGGAGTTCAGAATACAATCCCACAGAGTTAGTTCTCTCCTTCCACCTTTATGCAGGTTCTGGGGATAGAACTCAAGTCATCATCAGGCTTATGCAGCAGGGGAAAGTGTATTTTATCCATTGATCCATCCCACTGGTCCCTCACTATGTTCTCTTCTTCTCACTGCACATTAACAATAAGAGAGTGTCTACTTCTGCTTAAATTCACAC